CTCTCTGAGTGCTCTTGTCTTTTTTGAAACAAGTGAAAAGGGAAAATGAGAAGAGATTGTTTTAGGCTTTGACTGGGGAAAAGAGAAAAAGACAAGTAATTGTGCAGGAGTGATTGAATGCATACACATTTAAATTGTGGAATGACTTTGGACCTAAACATATACAGTATTCATATTATCAAGTTCATATTATACAACATAATGGACTTTATACATTTTTCATCAACTTGTTTTAATCTAGAGCAGAAACTGTGTGACCACAATGAGTAAATATCTCTTGCTGGAATCTAAATGAACATATTAATCTTTCATTCTCCTCGTTTATCCTGTCTTTTAACATCCATAACAGTTTTCCCAATTAGACTGTGATGACAGCGTAATCGCTTTAATAACACTGTAGCTACTACAGGTGCACACTGTACTGAAGGACTGGATATTTCATGGAAAGCAGCCATGTTGCCTCTAAACATTTTACTGATATGATCAGTATCATATTTGTGACATCTCCTCATTACTTGAATAGAAAATGTGATCTGGTCCCAATTATGCTTCCATCAAAATGCATTTGCTGTTGCAAATTAGTTAAATATAAATATAATTTCAAGGAGACAGGGCTGCACCACTCACTAATAAATATGACTTGTCATGTTGTCTCATGCAAACAACAGGTAATTCCCTCTTTAATTTGAGTATGCAAAACAAATTGTTGGTTCCATGTTTGAGAATAAGACTTTGGTCAAATTTAATCTGAAAAATTGGATTGACTGAATCATAGTCTGACGAATAAATAAATAAATTAATTAATAAACAACTAAAATGCAGTTCAAACAGACAATGCTACATAATGTGTCCCACATTATGTAGCATTGTGAATTGCAGCTCTTATACTAATGCTAACAGGGTTTGTTTTTGGAAACATGCCCCACTGTCTTCCATAAGGTCAACATTGTTGCATAAACATGCCTGTGACATTTTAATGACAGGCATTTCTAAAACTATTGGCATACATTACTAATGATTCAAGATTATCTTTGCATCTTGAACACCATAGACAATAAGAAGAGACAAGATAGAAGTCATGTAAAGTTAAGCATGATCCTGTGATGCAGTCTTGTGTCCTCATCTCATTTCCGACGTAGCGCAGTCACTAAAATGGGTTTTGTTCTGGACAAGCTAAAGTGTCATAAACCCCCACCTCACTGCCTTATCTTTAACACTCACCTGTGTCATTAAAATATAACCTTTAAATATATTTAGACATTTATCCTTCAATATTAGGAGCATTATTTAACACTCATATTCCACTGGCTCCTGTAGGAAAGGAACAGCAAGGGAGATGTCTAATTATCCCGATTAAAAAGCAGAGTATGAATGAGCCATACAAAAGAGGATTATGCAGACATGAAAGAGAGAGTGGGACTGGAACAGAGCAACAGAGGAACAGGAGAGCTCATGCAAACGCAGACGTGGATGATGAGACGTCACATACATGCAGCCCCTCACAAAGGAGAATGGACAAGTCAGGCTACGCATCGCTCTCTCCTGGTCTCCTCCTTCATTCTGCCTCTCTTTTGCTCCATTAGCTTTAGTACTGTCTCTTGGCTGAGGTATCAGGCTATTGTACAGCTAATTGATCATCAAGGTCAACAATGGATCCACTGTGGTTTTGGTATTGACCCACAAACAGTTTTAGGCTTTCTCCAAAGATAACAGTGACCACCACCCAGGGACCGGAGATATCTAGTGAAAATAAATGTAATGTGCATTGTGGCCATTACCTTCTGAATCTCCACTGACTCAGTGCTGGACCAGCCATTGCAAATGGATAATTTGCAGCAAAACATTGTTAAAACCCTCAAAACTTTATGTTAAATCATAGTGGAAATAATACCCTTTCCAAAATAGTCTACCACGTGCATATAAAATGTATAAATGAGTATAAAATAAAAGCTATTTAATAACAGTAGCTTTGGAGAAACAAAAGTGAAAAACTGGAATAAACAACTGAATAGTATAAATCCGTATTTACGCTGTAATTAGCCATTTTAGGTTGAGTAACATTTCTTAAAGTTTTTAGCAAGTGCAAAATATCAGAAGGGTAAAGGTATCACCACTGTACATTTAAAGATCTTCAGTCACAAATAAAGGAATCAGCCTTCGAATGTCTCAAAAAGTATACCTCCACTGTAGCTACATAATTTCATATAGAGAAGATATTTACAACATTTTAATCTACATATGGTCCAATATTTGCATAAACAATAGATACACAATCAGAGATGACAGTCATGCTGGCTCGATGATTGCAGCTATGATTTTTTTGAACAAATTAAGCAGCAAATTTTCCTCGCCATTTCTCATTTAATTAGACAAGATATTAAAAGGATACTCCTGTTTAGTGTTGCTATTCTATAAAGGGAAACATGTTACAAAAAGAATGGCCAAATTTGTGAAGTCCTACATTTCTCATAATTTGACTGGATAAACTCGTTTTGCCTTGTGTGAACACCTGCATTTATAAAGTACTCCCTTTCAGTACAATGTGTAGCCCAAGCCTATAATACTCTGTGATAAGTGAACGCTGCAGAGCGCCCCTTTACTAAACAATACGACATACCGATTAACACAGATATAAATTTATTTTGTCATACAGTTTTCTTTCTCTCTTGCTTAAACACACAAATGTACAAGCACCTCCCCCACCTCCTCCTCTTTCTGTGCCAGCACGGCTCAGCAGCAGGGCCTCTAGCCCATTAAACACAGTTTTGTTCTACTCAGCGCATGATCATCACTCTGATGCATCTGCTGATCACAGCGTGCAGAGGAACATTAAAACACAGGCTCTGCCAGTCACCAGGGGATCAGAGGGGCCTCGGCCGCATCCCAAACCTCCTCCCTTCACAAGTCCCTGTCCCTTTGGACTTTATCTGATACTGAATCATTGAAGAAAATCCAGTTTTTATCAGAAGGCAAATATCATGATATCCCTGTGCTGGTCTAGCTCTAATCTGTTTTACTATACAGTAACTGTATAGTGCAACTCATCCTTTTGTGATATTTATACTGTAACAGTATGTCTTGAAATATAATCAGTATACTTGCTTTTCTATACATCATTGGGGAGAAATAAATATTTATGGTATAGTTGTGGCACAGTTTTGCCTTTTTGTACTTAAAGAAATCATGCAATACATGCAATATTACCCACATACTCCTCAAAAGGTGTCATTACCTAAAATGTACAGCTCACATTTTGTCACTCTTCATGCATGGACGAACAAATGTGCACATGCAAATACCTCACTCACATTCTGTGCAGATCAGCAGCAGCAGTTCTGTGCTTTTAGTCCTGTACTGGTGGGTTTGACATTGTATAGATGACAAGTGTGTGATATGAGGAGTGACCTGAGTGTGTGGAGGGTAAACGGAGTGACTCCCCAGGGAGACAGCTTGTTCTCTCTGGCCCTCTTTTAGAGTTCAGACAAGTCCCAAGATGCTGAGAGATTAATGAAGCTGCACTAGCACTGTGATCCCTACAGGACATACACAGTCACAGGTCTACATGCGCACACTGTCTTCATTTCAGATTATGACAGTTTCCATGTACCTACACTGATATGGGCTTAACAAGATGCAGGTATTTATTACACTGTGGGTAGAAGACACATTGTACATTCACACAACCCACTTGCTGTATATCTGTATGCTGTGTCAAAATGGAAATACTAAACAACAGGACAATTGAGTTAAAACTAATCAACTTTTCTGTCATGTCTTTTTTGTCCATGTTGTTAAAAAATAGTAATGGCTTTTGAATGGCATCCTGCCTATTGGTCACCACTGTTGCTTCAGCATGACATTATCAATAACGCATCAAATCTGCAAGTTTTCATCCCCCAGATGAAAAAGGCCTGGTCGTGTCTATTTGCATCCTCCAATCTGACAATGAGACAAGCAGGCTGCACTAGTTTGGGACTGCTGGGAAGATGTTGCATTAACACATGGACTACCTGCCTGCATTCAGGGTGTCTTACACAATGCAGCAGTGCCTCTTTGTGGTTGCAAACGGATACTACAATTCCACAACCAGCAACTTCTCAGCTTCATTCAGCTGTAACAAGCCAAGTGCCACTGAGGCAAAATATTTCTAAGGACATATGATGTGATAAACCATGGCATTTTGCCAGCCTTTCTTGCAAGCACACAGGATTGCAGATTGGGAATCAGGGATCAAGGATCAGAATTGTCAGATACCCTGAACGGAGATATATGAATCAGTACTGGGAAAGAAAATGTTGGATTAGTGTAAACCTCATTTTTAAGTTACATGTATTAATGTCATGTTACAGAAGCAGGTTTTTCATTAAAATATGAACTGAATAAAGTGTCAAATTCTCAACACAGTACATGCTATAACTGCACTAATGCACATGTGAATCTCCTCTTGAAGGCATCAAGCTCTTCTCATCTGGTGCTCCTCCTGTGCTGATGAACTAAACTAATAATCACCGATTAACAGTTTGTCCTGCTGTCACTGGTTATTAACTATGATCTTAGCTTTTTAATTAAATTGAGGTGTACAATCCAAAGTTAAAATGTGACATCTGACCATTTTTATAGAAGAAACTGAAAATCCATTGTACTGAATGAGATTTTTGTTTGAAACAATGTGACTCATCACAATACAAGACTTCACAGAGCCAATCCCATTCTACAATAAAGCCACAATTACTTATCATGGCCATCATGTTTTTTTAATAACTCCGTTTTCAAACATCTTCATTTAAATAGACCTTCCAGCTCATGGAAATAAAAGCCACCATGACACATTTTTCCATCTAAGCAGCCTCAACTTTAAACTGCGACTGGAATTTATTTGAATTAAATACATTTCACAGATATAGAGGCCTACATAGTAAGCAAAACAGTCTACTCATCATCCATGTGCAGAACTACACCACGGGGTAGTTCAAGAGAGTTTGTCATCATCTATCGCCATAGCCAGAAACGACTGCCCAAAGGATTGGCTGATGTATATAAAAACAGAAGATGAGGTCCTTAGTTTGTTTGACTTCAGGAAACATGTGCATGCTAATCCCAGCCAAAGTTAGACATCCATCATTTAGGGGAAATAAGTGACAGTCTGCAAAATCTTTCATCACATTGCCATGCTTTAAGGGCAGTTACCTCAAGATTTTTATAATGAACACAGAGACTGGATTCATTATATATCAGAGATACTGTATGGTAAACTTCTGGTTTGTGTCTCCCACGACATTTAACATTCTGTAAAGTATCGGCTACTGATACGAATGTAATATACTGTGGAATTGTCTTTTCATAAACTTCTTGAGCATGGCATCACATCCTGTAGTGTCACTCTAAGGCTGGTGTTCCACCTTCTTGCAGACCTAAGACAACACAGCCTGGGAGTTCTTGGTGCCAATCAGGTTGTCTGCACTGACAGATCTCCTCATAGCAGATTTACTCAGGTCCTTGTACTTGTCCTCACACAGCCTGGAGATGGCCTAGGAACAATATCATAAGCACGCAGCATGTTACTACCTGAACGACAAAAGAGGGAGAGATGCCAGTAGACCTTGACTGTACATTCTGAATCTGGACACCTTCACCTGCGTTGTGAATGCAGACACACTCACCTCCAGTTTTTGGGCCCGCTTGTTGCTAAGCGGCTCCAGAGGAAAATTAAGATTATTGTCATCAGCCAGTGAGCGCAGGTCAAAGTAATACTTGGCGTACACACTGGCGGGTACATTGATGTTGAACTGCAGCAGCTCCAGAAAGTGGCGCTCCATCTCGTTCCTACAGAAATGGAACAAACAATCACTTTTATGAAAAAGCCAAACATGCAACATAAGGCAACAACATGCTACCCAGCTTGATGAGCAGTGCTTTCATGGATGAGAAGTACAACTCACATGTCCTCCACGGTGATATCTTTGAGGATCTGGCAGTAGTCGACATTCCACACAGCCTGATCATCCCAGACCTTGGAGGCTAGCAGGATGGCACCGAGCGCGATGCGCTTCCAGTTACAAGGGCAGATGTCCATCTCAGCGTAAGTTAACAGCCTTTCCAGGTACACCTAACGCAGAACATAACCATCCATTCACACAGGCAACACACACAAACATACATAAATCATTCTACTAGAAAAAAGGAGTCTGAATAGATCTTGTAATAATGTATCAGACTGTTGCGCTGTAAACTTACCAGAGTGACAATGGCACACTCCGCAGTTAGCTGTGCTGAGCTGAACAGCGTTCTTATGAAGCGGTAGATGAGTTTGTGTTCTGGGTCAACCACAGAGTAGTCATCTGGAACCTTTTCCCGCTGTTGGGCAGAAGGTCATCATCACTGGTCCATCAGCAGTAAATATCGCTGTTTCATGTAATCAAACACCTCAACTCACCGTCAGAGGATGTTTCTTCTCATCAAATATGTCCAGCGAGCGGTCTGAATCTCTGCAGGAGCAAAACATTAAACTGATGTTAAACTGTGCATTTTATATGATTTTCATTCTGTTACCTTATACTAAATAACCATTACACACCTGTGGGGTTTAACAGTGCTAAAGGTCAATACCAATGTTTTAAATGCTAAATCTCTTCAGCTTGACCCTACGTGGAATTTCAGCGCTGTAATGAATACTACAAATGAAACATCTGAACTAAACAACCAATGAAGTGCAAAGTGATTCACTACCTCATATCACTTCAACTGGATATATTTCCTTCTGAGCTGGCTGACCTTACTCCACTGACATGGAACATTACATGTGTTCATGTAATGTGTTAAACAAAGTGCAAACTGCCAGAGATTACACCGAACCAATTTGTGATGATGCTAAAATGTTGAAATGACTCTAAATATCCCAATTTACCAGCTGACTCACTGACAGACTAACTACTGGCCCTCAGCAAAAGCCCACTATGGTGTCAATAAAGATTCAAAGCTAACTTACTATCTAGTTACTAACTACCCATATAACTCACTAATCTAGTAATGGGCCTGAAAAAACGGTTTCTTAAAGCCATTAGAAGTTTTTAAAATCCATCTACGTATCTACATGTATCTATGTAATACCAATTAATGTTGTATTTTCAAACTAACCAATTACAGTAACTATTGCCTACCAGCAAAACATTTTCTAGAATGGCATTAATATTAATTAAGAGGTGTTTCCTAAATTATTTTTAAAATTCAAAATAAACCCTATTCAACTATACTAGTACTTTTCTTACCTGTTTTTTATGTGATAGTATATGGCCAATGCAACGCTGGAACAGAAAGAAATCAACTTAAAAACAGTGAACCACCTTATGTGATTTTTACACCAAACATGAGCTCCAACCATGCGTTAGCATTAGAATATCATGTCTTCTTCCTCTATCTGTAGTTTTATGTAGGTCGCGTCTGAGTTGTATCGTGTAAAACTCCTATCTGAAAGCACAGGACAGTGCTAACAGCAAGCTAGTCTGTTGGCTTGCAGTAGATTAGTTTCTTATAAAAATGTAATATGTTTCGGGTGTAACATATCTGAGTAGTGATGAACAAATGCTTTAACTCTTCCCTTGTCATATGACCATGGCCTGCTAAGGGAAATGTGCACATGAAACTTTAAAATGTATAATGATGATGATTATAAAAATATTTAGAAGACAGAAGGGAAGTCACTTACCATTTGATCGTGCTCTTAAGGTTGGGCTGGCTGACTGTGCTATCATCAATGAATATCGTTGAGCAGGAACTGTACTTTTTGGTCAGGAGCCCCGGGGATACCTGGCATAAAATAATGATAATGGGTAAAGGATGAAAACAGGTTTTTAGATACATACACGTGACTTTAAAGATACCAGTTTAAATAGATTCTGCCGAGTTACAACGGAAACATGCCCCAACCACATCAAATAAATGCAGACCTGTCACTTACATGATTCATGTAGTTGCTTTTTCTTTTTTCACGCACTGAATGAAAGGAGAGGTCTGCATGATTAGGAGTTTCACAGGAGGTTTTAAAAACATCAAATGCTGACATACAGATTCAGCAGAGAAACACTGACCATCTGTCTGTGACTTGTTGAGGAAGAGGGTACTGGCTCTAGGGTGGTCTGATGGGTTGGCCTCTTGGGCCAGTTCTGCAAGACAAAAGTATGAACAGTGAGGGGAGGGGGACAGATTTTTTACAGCAATGCACTAAATTGTGTCTGCATTTAGTTGAATCTCCATAATGGGTCTGCTGATTTAGTGCTGAACTGTAAGAGATGAGCCTATGAGTCAATAATATAAATGAACTCTAGTAAGCCACACCATAAGGTAAACCCACCATCTGGTAGCTCCCTGTCACTGATGTGCTGCAGATAGGTCCCAGTGTCTTCACTCACATCCTCGGTGGTGGTGATAGGACACTCCTCCAGCTCCACTTCTCTCCTACGGATCTTTGGGCTCTCCCCAGGAGAGATGCAGCAGGACACAGAACCTCCCATTGTTGACCAACAACAGTCCTGTTACAGCCAGCACTGATTCCCATACACTAAGAGGGGGTCACCTAGTAGTCTGACTCACAACACGTGGGCAAACGCAACACCTGGGCTGCAGGGTGTCTGCAACTTACACAAAATTTGATGAAGAACTTTCAAGTAGCAAATCAATCTGAAACTAAAACTGTATGAATAGTGTGGTGGGACCAGGTTTAAGATTAAACTTAAGTCTTTCAAACTGCCTAATTTTAGCTTGGTGTATTAGGCACCAGTGAAGTCTGTGTGTTTGGCTGCAAGCTGGAGAACGCTAGCCTCAGAGCAGAACCTATGTGTTGACAGCCGACTGGCGACCTGCGGTTTGTGCAGGGAAGCTGACATATTCATGGCGTATGCGCAGTATAACACTTGCGCATTTAATACGAATTATAACTTCACGTATGAACTGAACAGTTCTGGACGATGGGCAATTGTTTTAAGTCATTTTACTGAGTAGAGGCTAACAATACAAAGTCACATCCTCCTCTGTCCCCTTCCATGGCTAGCCGGCTAATGCTAGCTTCCGCATTTCAATCCATTTTTGGCTTCAATCCATTTTCACGCAGTTCAAGTCTGGTCAAGCCTACCAGGCTGCCATACAAATTCGCTAACTGAAAAAAATTTCTAGAATAATTAAAGAAGCGGAAAGTTATTGGATACAGAAATTTTATAAATATAGCCAGCGTTAGCTTTCATTTCTTCGCATTTGCAGGATACACGACTCGGGTGTCAAATTGACCAGAACGGTTACGTTCAGAAGCAACTTCCTGCTACTGCCTTCCAAACTAAAAGTCCTCATTATAGTTTTCATTGTAGTGTACAGTATAATGTGCAGTAGTACATAAATGGTGTTATGTTAGCGCGTTGCAACATTACAACAAACATAAAACATTTGATTCATTAAAAAAGTGCATCATAACTGCAAGTAACTTAAAACTGTTGTAGAAGAGCATTTACAGAAGACACAACATTTTCAAGCCAGTGCTTTAGGCAGCAACTCCCTTTTCTGCATAATAGAAAAGGCACACATGAAGCTTATCATTCTGATGTTTCCAAATGCCATATGAGCATAAAGCCCTAGGGAATAAAATTACAGGGCCACAAACAAAATGATGAAATTAAAACGAATAGATTAAACCTCAAATAAAATACAACTACTGATAGAATACAGTTTTCCCAAACTTAAACTGTAAAGTGATGTAGTTAAAGCGATATATGAGTGACTGTAGATAAGATCTAGTCTATGGATAAGAATAAAATAAAACATTTTTATACTGAAGGGGGAAATTCATGCCTTACAGTGGGTTACAAAGTATTTTAGTAGATACAAATTTGCTGAATATAATTCAATATAGTAAAATAAATAAAATAAGTATATCAATAAAAACCGAATAAAAGCCAAAGAACCTCCCCAGCATGTAACAGCAAAGAACAGAGCATTTGCCAGCACACACTGGGAAAAAAAACACCCTTAGAGACCACAACTTGCTGAGAAAGAGCAACCTATTATGTCATTTATTATGTCATTTTAATAAAAAGTGTATCTGTGTGCTTAGGCCAGCCCAGCTTATTGTGCATCCTCGGGTATCGGTATGTGTCCGTAAACTTTACAAAACTGGTGGGTGTCTGAAGGCCCCGCCTTCTCCATTATGGAGAAAACTGTCTTTGAGTAAAACCTAATATGACACGCCCACCACAACACCAGGCTTTCCTATTGGTTGGGTTTAACCAGGCTGTTATATGATTTGCTGAAATTACTCATTGATGTGTTGAGAGTGACCATGAAATGTTTTTTTCAATTACGATACAAATTATTGAATGGGATACAATATTTACTAAAGCAAACATACAAATAGCTACTTAAATTGTGGGAAAAAAATGTTTGATATATTGGCGAAAGCAGACGATTAATCAAACGAAAGGACGAATTTTACGCTGAAGGAGATAATTAACTCCAGATGGCAGTAGTGAAGCAGTAAATCCGCTAGTTGCTTTAAAATGTCAACGAAGAAGAACTGCACTGCGAAAAGAAGAAGGAAAAATTGTACTGCGTATATGAGTACTATTATTTAATACATCCATTGACTGTAGTTACTGTTTATTTTACGGCATGGCTCTGGTTCTGTACGTAGAGAATTCGTTACCTGCGCTTTCCAAACTCCACAATTCATCGGCACAATTTCATTTTGCCAACCACGACCTTCATCTAGCCCAGGACTGGAAAAAGCTTGGGGTAGCAGCAGTTGTGTGGGATGCGGTAGGACAGTAATATATTAAAGGAAATGTTACTACTGTTAGCCACTCAATACTGCGGATTTGCTTAAATGTGTCCTACGTCCGTTTTCTAGGCAGTTGTCATGTGCATGTACCTAGAGCTGGGAAAGGTGGAGTTAAAGGAGAAGGTAGCAATTGAACTGGGAGCTGGAACTGGACTGGTGGGGATTGTAGCAGCCTTGCTGGGTGAGTGTTTCGTTAACAACCATTTATAAGCATTGTGAGTGGAAAAATGTTACCATCTCAAGAACAGTGAAATTCGATGGGTTTGTGTTAACATAGTGGCACACAAACATTTCAAGGTATTAAACGCATATAAATATCAAACCAGTATCACATTTTCAACATTTCAAGGTGCCAAAGTGACCATCACTGACAGACAGCCTGCTCTGGATTTCCTCTCTGCCAACGTGAAGGCCAACCTGCCCTGGGACCGTCAGGGATCAGTGGTTGTGTCTGAGCTGACCTGGGGTGAAAACCTGGAGCGTTACCCAGCAGGGGGATATGAGCAGACATCGTTTACCTGGAGGACACCTTTGTACCACTGCTACAGACTTTGGAGCACCTGTGTTCAGATACCACTGTGGTGTTACTGGCCTGTAAAATTCGATATGAGCGTGACACAAACTTTTTGAGTATGCTCAAGCAGCAGTTCAAAACTGAAGAGGTTTTCTATGAGAAACAAAGGGATATCCATATATATAAAGCTTGGAAACTGGCAGTGAGGAGGGATTTGTAAAGACTGACTAGTCTGTTTTCTTTCATTAACTGTCTTCCTTGTAGCTGTAATTGTTTACTGATTGTGTGTACAAAATAAACCTGTTCATAAAAAAGACCAGAAACATGTTTATTAACAGCTGCCAAAATGTATTATTTGAAGAGCTCTAACATAATGCACTGTTATACAAGCTGGTGCTGACATTTAGAAATTGTGAATACAAAATTGATGAAAAGCAACAGACAAGCATGCTGTCATGACTATACATTATACCCAAAAAGAACACAACTTGGCATTGCACTCAGGTAGCTTGAAAATATCCATTTCATTCACTGTGAAGTCACCGTCTTTCTGATTTGGTTGCACTTTCACTTCTTTTGCAGGGTGTTTGATAGGTGCCATCGAGTCATACTTGGTAAGACTGATGCTCCACACAACTAATGTCTGACAGTCACTGCATGATGATACCTTCGCACTCACCGATTAATTACTGGTTAGCAGTGTGTTACATTGAAGCAAAATTTAGAGGGATCTCACCTTGTAGCACCAAAATCTAGCAGGGATTGTATATGCAAGGAAAGTGCACATGGCACTGTAAACAGAATCTGGACCCAGCCTCTGCTCATGCCTGGGACCTCATTTTTATTTATTGACCTCTAACTGCAGGACTTTTGTTTTCTCTGTACAGTTATATGGAATTTAGCATCCACAATACAATGGGGGGGCTTTGCATGGAAAATACACTAATATAGGAGACAATGATTTCAGTGAAAAGCCATGTGTCTCCTAAACACGTTTTTAAATAGGCAGACAAAGGATTTATTTTAATGTAGAACACAAGGCTCATTATTCTTGTCTTTTTGTTCAAAAATAACCCAGGAATACTCAAATACATTTAAAAAAAAAGGATTTTAAGTACATAGTACAAAACATGGGTGGAAACAAAGCATTTAAAATATGTAACCTTTTGTATTATACACACTGGCTTGAGCAGCACCTCATTTCCATTTTATCCCCCATTTTTTTCCTATTGCTATAAAATCCACAAGAGTATCTTTTTTTATTTTGAACTATGATGACCAATGTCTTCTTGGACAAGGAAACAAACCCAGTGTAAATCTGTTCAAGCTAATCCCTTTATAACTTTGAAGATGTGTAAAAATCATAATCAGCGAGCCTTAGTAATATGACTGGGAACATGCATCATAGACCCTAAACATTTGTCAACACTGGTACCAACAAATATTCCCCTGGAGACAGTTTTCTTTCCTTGTTGTCCTAAGATTTGGACTCTCATTGATACCAAAGTTGCTGATGAGTTCTACAATCTCTTCACCCTCTTTAAAGTTGCAACTACCATACCAACCGTTTTACAACTCAATGGTTAGCTTTTTGTTCATGTATCAAGGCAAAGTATATTTAAGTTTTACAAAAAAAAAGTCCATGGCATTATGCAAACAGATAATCTAATTCATAAATCAAAACACAGCTCAAAGATAAAATGTCCATGACATAGCCCATCTAGTTCAAAGCATTAGTGAGTAACAGATGTTAATGCAAGTGCTCAGTTACAATTACGAATGTTGCACAAGAAGATATCCTCTCCAAATGATCCACACGTCTCAGGAAGATTCAACTGTAAAGCATTCCATTATTCCAGGTGATGTAATTACCTGTTGCTGGTGATGTTGCCCAATCTGTCCAGGCACCAGTGACTGGAATGCTTCCCTTTGGTGGTGCAAAACAATATCAGCCTCACTGTCCGTTCTATCACTTCACCACAAGGACCCTTTATAATTGTAGTCTCCTCCACATCCTTCTTCACATTGCCTCACACTTTAAATGGAAACAGAATTGGGATTTCAAATTGATGATGGGGGAGGTGGAGTGTTTTTTTTTCTATTCCTGGTGAGTCATTTACAGATTTTCAACAGTTTTTAAAAAGGAAGCTGAAGAGTAAAAAAGGTATGGCATTCAGATGCATAGCTCTGTGCCAAGTCTCTGTACAGGGGGGCAGTCGGGCACTTGTTGAGCCCCTGGAAGACATTTGGTGATGTTTCTACTCAGATTTATGGCAGTATAAGTCTTTGAGGGCTTTGAGTTCCTCAATGAGGGTTTTGTTCTGGTTTTCCAGCACAGCCACACGGTTCTCCAGACACTTGACATACTCCTTCTTCTTCCTGCGACATTCACGGGCTGCTTCTCTGTGTGACATAAAGATTGTGTGAGTGTATTTCTTAAGTGAAACTACAATATGCAAATTCTAGAAATTAAGCTAGTGCCAGCATGAGGCTCAAAAGCTCCACTGATATGCTCTGACCAGACCTTCACCTACATCCTCATTGTGTACGCTGTCTCAGCCAACAAAGGAATTGGAAGCTTGCTAGCCTGTGAGTCAGTCACAGCAAAATCTTCCAGCTGCTAATACTAGCTTGAAGCCTGAAGAGAAGTAGTAGACCAAAAGTGTGTTCCCATAATGAATGGTAAATGGACTGTATTTATATAGCGCATTTTTCCAAAGCGCTTTACAGGAGATGATACACCATTCACCCATTCACACACCGATGACGACAGGCTGCCACACAACAGCGCTAGTCAAGCCAACGGGAGCAATTCGGGGTTCAGTGTCTTGCTCAGGGACACTTAGGCATGCGGGGAGACCGGGAGTCGAACCACCAACTTGCTGGTCAGGAGACAACTAATGACCACTTGCCAACTTGTACACTGGCTTAGACAGAATGATGCTGACCAAGTGGCCATCCGAAAGGGTGCAGCAAACAGCTTTGTGTTGACTGCAGCATCCTTTGATAAAAACTACTGGAAAATCTATTAAAATATATTGACAGTCCAATGAATGTTACAAAAAACATCTCCATACTACATCACAAAACAGTGACATTAACAGCTAGTTTTAGAAATAGATACTTTCTCCAAGAATAATTTTCAAGTTGATATTCAATAAATCTCCTGAGGCTGTAGAACTGTTCCAACAATAACATCGCAGTGTCACAAACCCAGATTCAATCCGACATTTATTAACTCAAATAAAAAAAAAGGCACACTGCATTATTTGATTCACAGAGCCAACAATGGCATCCTGCTTAATCCTATTCTAAAAGGTGATACAAGTTAATGTAGACCAAGGATGATGGGACAACTGATTCAGCATTACAAGTCATTGATTACCACTGTATACATAAAGTCAATTTCTTTAGACATTAACCCTGTAATCAGAGTATCAGAGATAACAGAATCAATGTGGCAGCACTAAAGCATCAACTAGAAACGTATACAACACAAGTCAACCTTATAATAAAGCATACCTGTTTTTCATAAGTCGGACCTCCCTTTTACGTGTAACCTCCTCAGTGGCTCCTGTGGTGCCCAGTGCAGGGGAAGTGGTCATGACCACCCCAGGAGTGATGGTGTTGGTGGGTGCTGTGCGGATCTGATAGGCCTGGACGTCACCAGAGGCAGCTAACAGATAAAGACAATGTATTAAAAAAAAAGCTAAACTAGCTGGCACCGTCTAATATTTGGCTGTTTCAACTGACTTAATTTCATGTTCAAACAGTACCACAGAAGTCATTCATTCACTTTGAATATGCTTATTCAGAACACTGTTAAGTTATTCCCCCACCTTGTACAACCACTTGGTTGCTGGGCACTAAGATCTGCTGCCCATCGCTGGTCTGTGCATACTGCAAGATGGTGGCACCAGGCTGGGCTGCAGCAGCGTTGGCCATGGTCAGTGTCTGCAGGCCCTGCACTCCATCTGTACCGTTATTGGCAAGTTGGATGGCTCCACCTTGGGTAATGGCAACTGTAGAAGGACGTGTTCATGTGTTTTACTCATGCATTTTACTCAAGATAAAATCTACAGATAAAAATCCTTGGTAAAATATGCCTCAGTGAAATTATAACACTAGCTTTGTATTTTATCTCATCCTCTTATCAAGACTGTTTTCAACTGACTAAATCTAAAATACCTCAGGGTACTGTGTGACAGCAGGAAGTTCTACGTTTCAATAAAAAACACCAACTTTCTGTATCACTATCCAAAACTACTTACTGTACTGGCCACTGCTAGTCTGATAGATAGGAGTGGGCATGGTGACTGTGGTGATGGCAGGGGTAGAGTCATCTTCTGACTTCTCTTCCTCAATTCGAGGCACTGCTGGAGCATCTGACGATAAGTCGTTTAGAATTTTCCTGTCACAGAGAAATTACAACTAAGTTTTTTTTCTATTTTTAAAGCATCATTATACAAATGGTGCAACATTATATAACTCCTCTCTCACTGACATTGAAACAACAGACCTTAGCAAATGGAAGTTAAGGCTTTTGATCAAATACAAACGCCAATATGTGATGCAGACTAAATATTACAGCAATACAATTACAGGGTGAATGCTGATTAAGAGAAAGACATCTATGAGCACACAAGTAATACATCTACAAATGTTTTCTATATCTTTGTTGATAGGAGGTCCCACAGACCTGTAAGAAGGTCGCCTGGATAGGATCTCCCTCCTCTTCTGAGAATCTGTCACACTGTCAACGGACTCCTGAGAGTCCTCGCTCTCAGCAACAGCTGAAATCTTGAAGTCAACAAAAATCATAATACTTTCAACAGTTGATTCAACAAAATATAAACATAAAGTTATGTGAATATAATAAACCAAGCAAAAACAAACAAAAAACAGGACTACTAGCTTATAGCTACCGCCCCATTGCCTTTGCCAGACAAACCCAATTTCAAAAAAATAAATAAATAAAGCAAACATGTCAGCATTCAACAAACATTATTTCTGTAATAAAGCAAAATGTTATGTGCTGTAATGAACACAAAAGTTGTTTTTGCTCCTCTCACCTGGACTGTCTGGACTTGTGGAGACTGGATGACAGAGGGCTGAGCAGCCTGGATCACCCCATGCACTTGGACTGTCTGACCATTGGGTAGCTGCACTAAGGTGACCGTGGGACTGCTGGATGACATCTGGCTTGCTGCTATGGATGCCTGAGACCATGACAACCCACACAATCATACACCGTCTGTAACATTACTCACATTTCTAAACATAGATCACAAACTCTTCTTCTCAATGCTCTTCAAAATTCATGATGCTACTTGTATTGTAACAGCTAAATTTAAAAGCATAAGGTTCACCTGGGTCAGAGTGATCTGCTGGGCCTCAGACTCTGAGACTGCTGTTTCACCACTTTGCTGTGTGTCTGCACCAGCCTCCATTATCATTTAAAATCTGCAGAAAGTAAGACACATCTTAGTTGTACATTTATTATCATGTTTAAAACAGAACTATTCAGCACAGCCTGGGAGAAATTGGTCCATTTTGTAACGTTGAGACACTCTGGAGGTTGTCTGGTCTACAACTTCAGTGCTTGTTGCTGTAAAAAGGGTGTGGCTTAGCTTAACGTGCTAGCACATAATTCAGTAATGTACGTTAAAAATGAGCTGTAATGTAAATGGCTTTCCCTGCAAGAAAGGGTTTTCTCTCTAAAATAATTTAATACAACGTATGAAATATGATTCTAAAGACTTGAAAGGCCAAGTTTAACATAAAACGTTATTATATGATGATACATGCTTGCACTACCCATACACCTCCAAGATTAAAACCAACTTCTTCGCTAGCCGAAGAGTAGTTAGCTTGTAGTTAGCTTGAGCTTCATTGCCTCTGTTAGCATGCTAAAATGCTAATAGGAATTCAGCGAATGTTAAACATGGTTAGCAACCATTTAACATTTGCTAAGGCTCTGTTTCAACTCTTATTTTCAGAACTTAAACGCTCATATCGCAGTTTGGCGCTTTGCTATAACTAACACTTAGTTGTATACTAAAATAACGTTAATGTTGCTTTGGCTAACACTAGCTTGCAAGCTGTGAGTCTGTATGGAGGGAAAATTCTGCATGCATTACCAGTTTCGTTTGCAATTAAAACACACATTGAGTTCTTTGCCTCAATTTTTGTTCAACTCAGTATTGACATAAAATTGCTGTACAGGGCTTATTGCGTCTGTAAATTAGTTCTAATCTGTTTATTAAAAGAAACATGACTGAAGCCCACTCCCATATTAATACCTATGTCTCAGCTGTGTTGCATGCCAGCGAGCCTTGCAGAGACTGACTCATTTTGTGAGCCTCTGCAACACCGCCGCCATGATCTCTTTGTTGGCTTTGGCCGGATATTAGACGCAAATAACTTCTCTGGGCAGCCATCTATCTGTTTAGCAAACATCGGATGCGTATCCTCTTACCAACACAAACTCGCTTCGTCACTCCCGGCTCTACGGAGCTCCACTTTTATTCCGACCGACACGTAAGAGACCGCGTCAAGCTACACCTCCGTCGCGTCACCGAGAACAACAACACGGAGAGGAGGATGAGAGAGACGACGACAGCGAAAATCATCTCTATCGACAGGACACGAATGGGGACGGAAAGTTACGACGGCTGCCGAGTGAAAATCACGGACATAGCCGATGGCCAAAGTAAGTGCTTGATGCCTTCGAACTTATCTGAGCATACGCCTCTCTCTCTCTCTCTCTCTGTCTATCTGTCTGTCTGTCTATCTCTCTACCAGAACACAATATTGATTGATAAAAGTAGATGTACTGCATAAAACAATCAAATTAATACAAAAACAGCATATATCTGGTGGAAGGAAGAGATTTTGGGAGCCATAGACAGGGTTGTTCACTGCTCTAAGTGTTAAATATGTTATTAACTGATACAAATTGAGGCACTTGATTTACTCAGTAATCATTTAATCAGCAAAGTTTTTTAAGGAATAAATGATGTCCTCAGGTTGGCACAGTTGGTTATCTTACAGAATAGCTCTTCATCAAGAGAACAGTTATCTAAAAGAGAACAGGAAAATGATGCCAATAGTTGCTAGCAGTTGTTACACCTCTTGCTTCATTGTAGATATATACATGCTGCCCTTAAAAATAAGGATACTTCTTGTGCAATTTTAATCCTTGCAACTGAAACAAACAAGCATGACTTTGTCTATACAATCAAATATAATTTCTGCATTTTTAAAAATGACACTAGTATCGTATTACTTAAGTCGGATGTGAAATAAAATTTGAAATCCTTGAGTTTCATGGCTGTAGTTGAACACATGGTGGCAGCAAAAGCCTTCTTTATTTCTTGTCACCATGGCAGCAACCACTGACACTGCCCCATTATGTTATGTTTAGACACATGTTTCTTTTATCCCAGCTTGATACGATCAGTTATCTGTGAATCAGATTAGTCCTAACTGTGGCACTGGCTTTGCACTAGCAAGCCATGTTGTCATTTTAATGAGAAATCAGTCAGCTCCAGTCCTGTATTACTTATTATGTACTATTTACAGCCCTTGTGATTCACATTACATTTGCTTCTCCTTGGTTGTCGACTCAAGCCATAAAATGTACTCATTAACTCTGTCACTCGATGTATGAGGACTGGTGCTGTAGGAGTGAAATGGGTTTTAAGCTGTGGCAGCTGGGCAAAATCCTGCGGGGAAAATGAGACTTCAGACCAATTTATGGCCATCATCTCTATGTGCGAGGTCATTTTGGAGGCCTCCTAATGCACACACATACACACACACAGATGTCAAACATACCCATCGTCACCTATCAAGTGATTGACTACAGCAGTGGTGCAAACATGTTCACTGCTGACCCAACCAATCTTGTGTCCTTGCATCTTAAATTTAGCATTTTTTCTCTGCAAAGTGATAATGAATAGTGCAGTCATTTATTCCTACTATTTAACTTTTATAAATCTCATAGCTGATATAATAAATCTTTGCCACAGAGCAGCCTTTGTATCTGCTCGCAAGTCCACATCAGTGACTTAACTCAACAGCCTTAGCCAATCATAATTAGCCTGCGTCCTTCCATAAGAGGAGAGGTTCATTAGCTGCCAGTGAATATGTGCTTGACTATGCAAGCTATGCACATTCAGATTATTTGCAAGTTTCAGTGAGCATTATTCTATAATTTGTGTGCCAGTTGTGCATATTTAGCCAATTTCTCATTGTTTTGCAAACAAAGCATGCTAGAAAAGAAAAATGCAGGACACCCATTCCCAAGGCTAATTTATATCTAGATTATACACAACAAAACATTTCCAAGATGTTGATTTATGCAATAGTGTGATAAGTGTTTTACATCATTCTCTGAAGTGACACCTGCTATATTTTAAGTATAATTACTGATTATTCCAGCAAGCTTTGAGGAAAAATAAGAGAAACCCCTAAGGATATTAAACACAAATGACTATTAATTAGGCTGCTACTAAAGGTTCTTTTCATCACTGATTAATGCTGATTATTTTCACAATGAATTGTTTAAGCTATAAACATCAGAAAATAATGAAAAAGGTTCATTGCATTTTCCCAGAGCCCAGGATGGCAACTTTCAAATGATTTATATTAATTAACCAACTGTCTAAAATTGAAAGAAATCTGAATATAATCACATTTGAGAAATTAGAACCAATTATTAAGAAGTTGCAGATTTATGTTCAATGAATTGACCTCCAAATGTACATTTTCTATTAATAAATGTTCTTTTTTTTCTATCACTAAAAACCTTTCACATATGTTACTGAAAACATGAATGCAGAAACACAATCAGGGTATCCTTGCATTTTTCACTATAATTTTTGTCTGAGTGAATAAAAACATAATTAGTGTGCCTGGTGATTAAAGCAAATTTCTCATTCTGGCTGCTTATGCTGCTGAGTCCGGCTGTAGAATATCTGCAGATTGCAAGCTTCACCATAGCCCTCTGCAGCAACCACACCACAGCAGCGACCCTGGTTGTAAATCATTGCTGAAACACCCACAAAGAGCAGAGTGAAATGATGCCACAGATGTCCAAAATGGTGTAGGGGGAGGATAGGAGATTACTCAGAATATGAAGTAGAGACTTCAATCCATAGCTCTTTCCTCTCTCCCTAAACCCAACTGTCAAAGCCCCTGGCTTAACGCAAGCCTTCAAACCCCCATCGATGGCAAGCCCTATAACACTTTCTATTCTACCACTATTTTGCATCTCTCTGTTTTCATCTCTTATTCTTTCTGTTTCAGTCTCTTTCTTCCTTTAGTTGTAATTTACCGAGTCATATGAAAAATTGTGGCCCACACCAAATCATGGCCTGAGGCGGTGTATGTAACAAGCAGACCTCCATGTCAGGCATGTCTTCTCCACATGCTGCTGCAGTACTGAGTGTATTAATAACATGCCTGATATATTCTGTCAACACTGCCATCAAATTTTAAATGCAGTCCTCAATCAAACTGAGTGGAAATATCATATCTGCCACTCAAGAAGGGCATAGCAGGAGATATCACCTCATATGGGCTTGCAGGAGGCCATGTGTCACCATCCAGAGAGAGATAGAATATAAATATGAAGGGGAAAACATGCAGTGCATTTGAATATCACTGACCTTATATGCATGCTTTTCATTGTAGGTTGAATTACCTGAATCGCATATGAACCAGTGCACCTGGCTATGGTTGCCATGGATACTGGGCCCCACAGTCTGTCTCTCTCTATCATACAAGCACACACATAAGTGAGGTTCTCGAATCTGAAGTTGTGAGTTTCAAAGATATCCAGTGTAATATTGTGCCACTAAGGTGCAGTATCAAGCTGCAGCTGCAAGGCAGAAAAGTTATCTAACACACAGAGATTGTGCTGACCCAGACCTCTTGCTAATCTAGGCTCTAGACAACACCATGTATTTGGTGATCTCAGTCAGTCTGTCAAGGCTTCTCCCTTCTTCAGATCAACTTATATGAAGCATCAGCAGTCTGAGTTAGACAGATGAAGTCTTTCATGGAGTTATGTTTTTAATATGAATTTAGTCTTTGTGTTTAGACTGTGCTTCTTTACACAGTATGCATAACATAAATCTAAATGCAACTGACAGGACAAAGATGCCCACTTGATTTTCACAGAGATGTACCGATAGATCTGATAACAGTCCCATAGGTCAGATTTCGTCAGCTGTTATGTAACCCATCCTGCAAGAATTTAATGGATGTGGAGGCAGTTTGACCCCCAGTGAAAAGAAAAAATTATATTAAAATGTCTTTAGAAAGACAAAAACACATGCACATAGGTGCTAGAGTGTTTGTGTGTGTGTGAGTGTGCAATCATGTCTGCTGGACTTGCTGCAGCGCTCTTTCCCGTCATAACATGTCATTCTGGACACTATTACTCCCAACAGAGGCAGACACTCCAGTTCACTGACGCAGAGCATAAGGTCATCTGTCACATATAATCTTCTCCATCTAGGCTTGACTTTTAATTGTGTATGTGGTATATGCTTTTGTGTGTCTGTGTGTTTGTATTTTATATGTAACTTGAAAATATTTCTGATTGAATGTGTGTGTTGAGAGATATAGAGGCCTTGCCTGTCATTCACACAGGCAGAACACCGTTACCTTACAAACCCTGCTCTCATCCATCACCTCCTCTTGCTGCCGAGTTCAAAGGTTGCCATGACTACTGGCGTCCCAGTGGGAATGCAATGCGCTTTGCCCTGAAGCCATCGGAGCAAGCGTGCTTGGCGGGTGGGGAAGATATGATGATCTTTGACCTGTCAAGGTCTCACCAATGGAGAACAGGAATGGGGAGGGGGAAGAAAACGGGGCTGCACCGGGTTGTAAATTCATTGATCCTCACTGAGAAGCATGGGTTGTGGGTGGAGTGGCCTTATAGCTTCTGAGCCCTGTGACTTGTGCTGGCTGCCTCCTGGATTTCACAGGGCCTCCGGCAAGAAAGATAGCCACTTTCTAATCCACCAAGTCTCTCACTTTTCCTCCTCCGTGTTTCTCAGATAGTGCATCTTTTGTGTCAGATCCTTGCAGCTGTCTTCACTGTTGCTTGTATGAAAGATGCTGGCTTTGTATGGGTTTGTGTGTAAGTGTGTAGGTACTGTCTGCGTAAATGTGAGACAGAGGCACAGACGAATACCTGCAGTCCATTCAGTAGATTTTTCTAGACCTTTATCTTTCAAACATTTTTTTCCAGTAGAGCACACACCATCTGTTGACTCAGAGTTAAGACGATGTGAATTTACAATTTGTAAGGTTAAATTTAAAACTTTCATGCCCAACAAACTTTCCCTATTCTTGAACTGTATCTAATGGGCACTGGGACAAGAACACATGTTCATTCTGTAAAGGTTGTAAGGTTGGAGTTTGACTAACATAAATATGCTGTATATTTGAACAAA